GGTTTGTGTTGGTTCCCCTTTTGTTTTATTTTGTGAGTGTCACAAAGATCTTCTTGAGTGTCACCTGTTGGCTGCAGAACTCTGTTGCAGCCAATGACTGGAGCTCTGTTAAAGTTCAGGATTGGGGGAAGAAGTTGTATGAGCCCAAGATTAAAATTTAGTTTCCTTATCAGGGAATCCCACATCATCTCCCCTTTCTGTCTAATAAAAAGGAAGGTTTTAACTTAAACATAGTAAAATTACATAACACAAAATAGGTAACAAGGCAGAATTACAGTTACAATATTCAGTCTGTTAGAATCTGGAAAGTTTCATGTTTTTCTGATGAATTTAAAGATTGCTTACGAATGCAAAGACTTTAACCACATTGATTATATTTGGTTTCTCTCCAGTATGTGTTGTTTCATGGTTTTGAAGATTACCTTGTTGTGTAAAGGCTTTACCAAATGGATTCCATTCACAGGGTTTCTCTCCAGTATGTGTTCTTTTATGCGTTTGAAGACTACTGTGACGTATAAAGGCTTTACCACATTCATAACATTGATAGGGCTTCTCTCCAGTGTGTGTTCTTTTATGCCTTTGAAGACATTCCTGATAAGCAAAGGCTTTACCACACTGATTACATTCATAGGGTTTTTTTCCAGTGTGTGTTCTTTTATGCCTTTGAAGATTACCTCGTAGTGCAAAGGCTTTACCACACTGATTACATTCATAGGGTTTCTCTCCAGTATGTGTTCTTTTATGTTTTTGAAGATAACTGGGCCATGCAAAGGCTTTACCGCATTGGCTACATTGATAGGGTTTCTCCCCAGTATGTGTTCTTTTATGCACTTGAAGAGCACTGGGATGAGCAAAAGTTTTACCACAGTGATTACATTCATAGGGTTTCTCCCCAGTGTGTGTTCTTTTATGATTTTGAAGAGGCCAATTTCGTGCAAAAGTTTTACCACATTGATTACATTCGTAGGGTTTCTCGGCAGGATGTGTGCTTTGATGGCTCTGAAGATGTCTGTCGTATGCAAAGGCTTTAGTACCTTGACTATATACAGAAGGTTTCTCTCCAGGATGATTTCCTTCAGCCCTGCAAAAATAATTGAGATATAGGAAAGCTTTACCACATTTAATACACCATTGAATCTTTGTATCTCCATGAATAACTTTGACAATTTAGACCAGTTGTAAAGAGGAATCAGATCTCAAGGTTTTATCACCGGGTTTACTCTCACGCTGTTCCCATTCATAATGGGTTCTTTTGCATCTTTGAAAATGCCTGTGATGGCAGATGCTTTATTAAAGAGTTATATTTACAGACTATTTTCTATATGAAAATTTTTGCATATTTGTAACAAAATGGAAAAATTCAAATATACACATGTAGCTGGAGAGTAGGGTTTCTCCACAACAACTGCACCTTGGCTCTTGACCCTAACAGCCCATCTCACTAAACTCAGCACAGTCACAGCAAGACCATGAGTGACACTAGCTTTTCTATGGGTTGTGTGCTTGTTAGAAGGCTTGAGGGATGTACTTATCACCTGTTCATTATGTATACACTTTATCTTAGGAGTGGTGAGAAATTAATGCACTGAAAGCTCTACAGAACAGCTCTCACTGAGCCATGATTCAAATGGTGATATCTGTTAAGGCACTGTTTCTTGTCTTCTTTCTTAAAAGAATGCCTTGCAAATGCAATTCACCTACTTGAAATTGAGGTATACGGTTTTTGAGAATTCAAGAATCATCAATGCATCTGTGCTTAGTTACACTGCTGTTTAGTATAAAAACCCCAGGACACATTACAGTTCCTCCAGAGGCACACATGTATCATCCTGCACATGGTAATTACCTTTCTTTTCTTCTAGAACTTTGACGATGTTCCTCAATATTACGGTCTTCCCAACTGTATCCTACAATAGAGTAAAAATGTATGGTATGTTATGTAAAATTATGCAAAATTTAAATTCCCATAATCGTTTTACCATAGAGCCATGCCTGGTTTATTCACCTCATTCTTCTTTCTCAATCAAATTACAGAAGAACTTCAAAAATTAAGGAACAGCTGTCCCCTTATGTAAAAACATGACGGAAAATTCAGGTTTACCTATGATACTGAGGCTGTGGTAGGTGTCCAGCATCACATCTTTGTAGAGATTCCTCTGGGAAGGATCCAGCAATGTCCACTCTTCCCAAGTGAAGTCAACATGCACATCATCATAGGTCACTGCATTCTGAAATGACCCATACATGTGTACAACAGGGAGCATGATACTGACAACATGGTAAATGTACAGTTCCTTGACAGTATAGTCACATAATTCTGGTACTCCCTGCACTTATTCAAATATATAGACATTATATGTAATCACCAAGTCACTTTGGAAGGAAACTGAATAGGAGTTTCACCTACTCTTTATGCTGTGAATGGGATATCATCTCGCAAGAGAAATGCCTATTAAAAACATACAAATTCAAGTAAAAAATTCAGTGGTACAGAATACATAGGAGTGAAATTGTATGAACAACTGTTACCTACACAACAGAAAAATAAAATGGACAGACTTAAGTATATTGGCTCACACCTTTTAATGTGCAATCAGAAGTCAGAGGCAGGAATATTTGCCTTGGAGTTGAATGCCAGCATACAGGACAGCCAGAAGTACATACTAAGACCTTGTCTCCCATGCCAAAATCAGTTAAAAAAAAAAACAAAAAACACCACAACACAGAAAGAAATAATTCACATGGTCTTACTGACGTTACTACAAAGGAATCTGTATTCAACTTCCAAAAACCTAAACCTGCCCACATTAAACTGTAACGTCAATAAGATTTTACTAAAAGTCACTCTATGTTGAAACAGTTACAAAAGGAGAGATGAAAGCATTTGAGGGCTGGAGAGATGGCTCAGTGGTTAAGAGCATTGCCTGCTCTTCCAAAGGTCCTGAGTTCAATTCCCGGCAACCACATGGTGGCTCACAACCATCTGTAATGACGTCTGATGTCTTCTTCTGGCCTGCAGACATACACACAGACAGAATATTGTAAACATAATAATAAATAAATATTAAAAAAAAAGAAAGCATTTGATAATTAAATTTTGATCATAAATGAGGAGAAGAGATATCTCATTACTACAGCTCTTCCCGGTATCACATACAGGCAGGCTCAAATAGTAGTTATTTATTTCGGGAACACGACTATCTATTATTACAAGTTCAGGGGTTCTGAAACCATCTTTTGATCATTGTGAAGATCAGGTACCCATGTGGTATATTTCCATGCTTACAGGTAAAACACACATTTTCATTAAAAAAAAAAAACTTTCAAAACAAAAGCAACAGGCAGGAAGAAGGTGATGTATGTGCTGTCCAGTGAATCAGAAGACTCAGGCAGTATTTTTGCCATGAATACAAGCTATCCTGGGAAACCAAATGATAACCTTTGTCAAGTTTTAAAAATTAACGATATAAGTGAAGCTCAGTAAAACAGCATATGTTTGACATGGTCAAAAACCTACATTCCAGGCACATTACACAAAAAGATGAAAACAAAAAATGTCAGGAATTTTGGCCCACTTTTAATCCCAGCACTTGGGATACTGAGTCAAGGGGATCAGTGAGTTTGAGGCCATTCTGGGGCCAGTTGGGTGTACAGATAGGGTCTTTAACAGTGGTGGAGACACGACAACACAAGAAGGAAGCTGGCTGAGTAGTATCAACTACAACACAATAGACACAAAGAACAGGAAATCAACTGAAATTAAAAATACCCATATCACTTTCCCAATGAGGAAAACTATCCAGAGAGTCTCTTCCAAATAAAACTTTCACAAGCAATTGAAAGAAAGTCACCAAAGAGACGTGTTCAAATCCATCATCATCTGGGAGGTTTTACATTCAATCAACTTATACACCGACCCAGGTCACTATAGGCAAATGGTCACCATGAGGACAATGCATTTAGTCACTTCAACGATCCTCATAATCTGCAACAACCCCTCCACCATCCAAATGTCCAAAGTCTCTCCAGACGCACAGACAATCTCTTGACAGTAACATCTTGTACATTCAGGAAACAGGTTACATCTTTCCTACACACAATAGCACAGCGCACCATTCATATTCTGAATGAGAGAAATGGAGATACAATGAGGGAAGACAGGCCCACGGCGAGACCAAAGCACAGTAAGAAAAACATGAAATCCTAAAGCTCTGTCAAAGAAACATGGAGCTTCAGTTTCAAAGGGCTTGGATGACTGCAACTTCTCTCTCATTGGTTACTTCTACTCCCTTTATACTGCTGGCTCTCCACGAAAGATGTCTAGGCCTGTAGAACCTGCAAGCTGGTACTCCTATTGCTAAACCTTGCCAGTCTCTCAATAGCAAGGGTCACTGAACTGGGTTTCAGAGTATTAGCAGCTTCCCTACTAGGTGAGCAGAGATCAAGTGTCTCAGACAGCACAGGGTTTCCCACCTCTGCCTTTCCAGTCCAGCAGACAGGGCCCTAGTCTGGAAAGTCTCACTTTAGCAGACATTCTTCCACTCTCCCAGAGTAGAAGACATTCTTCCTTTCCCCTGTCCTACTCGTCTTCATCACAGCTAAATGTGCACCGCTACCCAACACACAATTACCTGTAAATGAACCGTACATGTAAAGGTTAAATGCAAAGTGCTGAGCGTTTAGAACATACTGAAGAAATTATGCCTCTCCAGCTTAGGCTACCTGCCTTCCAGGGCTGCACCAAGAGCGAGTTGTTGACTCCAAACACGGTTCCACACACAGCTCCCTGCTCCCAACGCTCTGCATGGGTGCAGCCCACAGAGCAAAGTTATTCAGAGGACTGTGCCTGGGTCCAGGGAGCAGCAGGGACCGCGTGGGAGCTCACAGGACAAGGAATACGGCTGTAGATTCCCACCCAGCCCTGGGGAGGCCACGCCACCCCGGCTCCAGCAACTCCCCATCTGATCTTCCCGATATGGGGACAGCAGCCCCTCGCTCACCATGTCGTGGCTTCCGATCTGGGCACGGCCCCCTCACAGCTCCCAGCAGCAGCACTCAATGCACAACACGTCAATACACTGGGGCCACCTCCTCCGCAAACCTAAGCCTGCAGTCTGGCTCCCCGAAGGGCCCTGAACCACTTCTGATTGGCAGTTTGGCCTGGAGGTACTGATTGGCTAATGAAGCCTCAGTGACAAGTGCACGGCCTTTTGGGTTTCAGTGTGCTTAAAGGCACAGCACAATGGTTCCTGACTCTCCCTTCCACCTCAGACCCAGACCTTTTCCAGTTCTGCAGAGATTTGCATTTCAATAGCACTTGCCACTGGCTCCGCTTGCTGAGCCCGCTGTCTTCCTGCACTCGGTAGGCACTTCCCCTTCTTCCTCCTGGACACTGTGTGACTAGTTTTCCCAGCCCTCCCCTCAATGTGTACCCGGAATAGTAACAATTTTAAAGAGAGATTTAAGGACACAAAAGGAGATAGATACTTGTTCTGTGGCTTCTCACTGAGATCTGGTGAACTGAAGGAACTTTCTACCTGTTAGTCACAGGCACTTCAGAGAAGAGGAGAGAAATGCAGGGACCAGATAAAAAAAAAACAAAAACAAAAACAACGGTAGGTATGTGGCCCACCAGAAGGCTGGATGCTGGATCCATTACTTTTGAAGTTTTCTTCCAGAATTCAGAGCAACCCTTTGAGAAATAAATAATAATAATAAAAGTGTACTCTTGAGCCGGGCGGTGGTGGCGCACGCCTTTAATCCCAGCACTCGGGAGGCAGAGGCAGGTAGATCTCTGTGAGTTCGAGGCCAACCTGGTCTACAAGAGCTAGTTCGAGGACAGGAACCAAAAAAAGCTACAGAGAAACCCTGTCTTGAAAATAAAATAATAATAATAATAATAATAATAATAATAATAAAAATAAAAAAATTAAAAAAAGTGTACTCTTTCGGGTAAGTTGAACACACAGAGAATCATGGAGCTAGGAAGACTGTCTCTATGAGTACTATTGTTAGCCAGCTCATCTTCCTCAGTGGGCAGGAGACGTAAAACAAGGCTGCATTGTTCAAGGCTCTCTGCATGAGCTGGACTGGTAAAAATCAATCTCTCCGTGTATGTAGAAAGCGGGTTTATTAGAATGTCTCACGAGTCATGGTCCATTGTTAGACAACAATGGCTAGCTACCAATGGAAAGTTGAAGATTCCAGTAGATGTTCAGTTCACAGTGCTGGATGTCTCAGCTACTCTTTGGTAGACACCAGAATCCCAAAGTCGTAGGCTCTAATGCTAGCAAAGGAATGGCCTCGCTACCCAGAGCTAAGGCAAGAGGTAAGGAGAGAGTGCTTCCTTATCAATATCCTTTATGCATGTAGGCTGCTACCAAAAGTTTGACCCAGATTAAAGCTGGACAGGGTTTAACTGTGTAGCCCTGGAACTCATTGTTACACCAGGTGTCGTCTTTGGGGGGAACCTGAGAAGGCTGGGTGCTGGTCACATCCTGGAGTAGCTGGTCTCTTTGCTCCTGTACAGTGTTTGTGGTATGGAAATGTCGGGTGTTTCTTAGACTTATTTAAGGTATTAACAGAACACAGGACAAAGTTAAGTTTAGGAAAAATAATTTTAGGACCAGGGAATTGAGAGGGGGGTGTATCTGATCTGTTTAAGGTGGATCTTTTAATTTGGCTCACTGGAACTCAAAAGAATTTTGGGGGTTTCTGAAAACATAGGTTTTTGTTGTTGTTGTTGTTTTTGTGTTTTTTTTTATTTTATTTTCTATTAAACATATCTTTGAAATTTTTATTTCGGCTTATAACCTTACAAAACAGATTAAAGGGGTAAGCATGTTATACAAAGAGATAAAAGTACAATATGTTCTTCATTTGGGGGAAGCAAAATGCATACATTGGGTTATAGGTTTTAATTATATCATTTAGTTATTTTCAACATAAATTTCTCAGATTAACTCTTTATTGAATGTTTAATACTTGGTATGGAATACTCAGTATTGGAAGTCACTAGAAATATTAACTGAAACACTAACTGAAAATATAGGTTTCATATCAATCGATATCCCAGGGACCAGGTATGTTTTATAGTTTCATTTTTTTTATTTTACTTTTTTTGTTTGTTTGTTTGTTTTAGTTTTAAACACTAGCAGAATGACTGTGACAGGTATTTTTGCACAATAAAAATTATTTTTAAGACTATGAAAGGCAGCGTGAGAAAGAATTTTGTTAACTTATAGCTTATTGAAATTTGTTTGGTGATGCTGTCCTTTCAGCTGTCAAACTGCATCAGAGATCTTTGAGAAGGATAAAATTTTACTTGAGTTATTGATTAAAAAATGACAGAGAAGCCCGGCGGTGGTGGCGCACGCCTTTAATCCCAGCACTTGGGAGGAGAGGCAGGCGGATCTCTGTGAGTTCAAGACCAGCCTGGTCTACAAGAGCTAGTTCCAGGACAGGCTCCAAAACCACAGAGAAACCCTGTCTCAAAAAAACCAAAAAAAAAAAAAAAAAAAAAATACGACAGAGAACTTACTTGGTTGGCAGCTAGAACTACTCCTCCGGGTCCTCCATGGTCGCTGAAGGTCATATTTGCCTTCTGCTGTTTAGTGCAGGGCCTGCCAGGCTCCAGAAGATCCTGTGGGCTAAGAAATCTGTAGGAAGACAAGCCTACCTTGACCCGAGCAGCTAGGCTGTCGATATCAACAATTCTGTCCACTGTCTGGAGATCTTCGGTTTAGAAGAAAGGCGATTTTCCCCAGTGGTCAGCCCTTGGCAGTTAAGCAAAGTGCAGATGGACCTTGCTTTGTGCCCATCTGTCTTCTGTCTTCTGTGGAGGAAATAGAGTGCTGCTACTAGGAGCCAAGCTGTCTCTTTTTGTTATGAAAAGGTTTTTTTAATAGTTAAATATTTAAATGCCATATTCCCCAGATCTCTGAACAGTTGAGGACTGTATATTAAGTGTAACTACAGTATAGAATCTGCCTGGAGGGCTGGGTCTGAGCTTGACTGCACTGGCTCTCAACAGGTAAGATTTATACTCGTAAAAAGACAGAAAGAAGAAAAGGCTCCTTGCAATATAAGGTTAAACAGCAGAACTGATAACAGGAGAGAACATCTTAACTTATTTTAAATGAGGGTTGAATTAAATATAAAGTATCTTCCTAAGAGACTTAAAAGTACATAGCTGTTTAAAACACTCACAGGCTTTGGCATCTCCATTCCTCCAAGTTAACTGAGACCAGGGTATCCTTGTACTCAGACGCTCACCTGTCTCTTTCTCCTCAATGCTGTGATCAGAGGCAGGTGCCAACATGCCCGCCTCCTATAGCTTTTCTTCCTGTCTATACGGTCTCTGAATTTCAGTGTGCAGAGCTGGCAGGCTGATGGTGCCTGGGCTCCAGGAAGTTGGTAAACATCTTGAGACGGGCTACTTACTTCAACTTATGATATCTTGGCTTATACTCTAATCATGTGTATATCAAACATTTGCCCTGGGGGTTGGAGAGATGGAGCTGCAGTTTAGTTCAGTTTAATTGGAGAGATGGAGCTGCAGTTTAATTCACAGCCTCCACATGGTAGCTAACAACCATCTGTAAGACCAATTCCAGGGGATTCAATGTCCTCTTTCAATCTCCATGGGCAACACGCACACATGGTGCAAAGACAAAATGCAGGCAACACACTCATATAAATAAATAAACAAATAAATCTAAAGTCACAAGTATGTTGCTTATATTCATGTTGTCTGTAACTATCCAGGAGCCTTCATTGTTTATTCTCTGTATCTTGATGAGTTCTCCTGACCTGTGTTAAGAGTATGGACACCTTCAGAAATTTTATTTCCATAGTCTAATGTATTCTCACAACTTAGAAGGCGATAGGCAAGGTGTTCCTAGGAGTGAGGGGGAGAAGGAGGTACAGGGCATGTTTGAGGCTGGATTCCTCTATCCTGACACCATCTGCAAAACTGCAGACATAAGCACATAGGGGCAAATATTTCACTTTTCACATTAGTGGGAACTCCCTTTGTGGGCTTTTGCCCCTCAGAGGTATAAGGTAGTGGCTCTCCCTGAGGACAAACAACTTCATGTCTTTCTGAAAGGTTTTGAACCCTCTTCTTTACCCCTCTTCTGGCTAGCTTACTCTGACGTAAAAACCACGATGAAGCTTCCACAGGGATAAATTCTCTGTCCTTTATCTTCATTTCTGTATCTTTACATATTTTCTGCAGTGGAAAGGTAGAGGATTAGCTTTCTTGGTTTGGTTCTGAAATTAACTTTTTTGTTTTGGGGGCTTGTTTTCAAAACTACTTTATTCTTCATTCTCACAGGGTATTGACACATAAAGAGTAGACACTAATATTTAAAAACGAAATATCTTCCCAGCACTTGGGAGGCAGAGGCAGGCGGATCTCTGTGAGTTTGAGACCAGCCTGGTCTACAGAGCTAGTTCCAGGACAGGCTCCAAAGCTACAGAGAAACCCTGTCTCGAAAAACAAAACAAACAAACAAACAAACAAAAAACAAAAAAGAAAGAAATATCTTCAAATATCCTTTTGTTCACAAATTACTAGGACATCATTAAGGAGCAAAAATATTTCTGCTAGCCTAGAATACAAGAAAATCATTAACTAGGAATCTTGGCCTTGTCATTGTGATTTGGACTAAACTTAATCCGCTATGTTTTAAAACTTCTAAATCCTGCATAAGATGATTGACAATTAATGTTAGTAGTTCCAATTCCATCAATCTTTCTCTTCTTTTATGTTTGGGAATTATAAATGCACAATATTTTCCATTTATATTCCTCTTTTAAAATATAAACACTGATTTAATTATTAGTGTGGTTCATATCATAGTGCACTGTGGGAACTGCTTTTGAAAACCCATTTGTCCATTATTCACGTTCAACAGCATTAAAATGCAATTATGATTCACACAAACCCTCACTCTAGGGCTCCAGGTTACAAACACCTCTAGGAGCTAATGGTTATGAAGTAGGTTTTTTTTTTTTTTTTTTTTTTTTTTTTTTGGTTTTTCGAGACAGGGTTTCTCTGTGGTTTTGGAGCCTGTCCTGGAACTAGCTCTTGTAGACCAGGC